AAAAAAAAAAAAAAAAAAAAAAAAAAAAACCGATAATATTTTAAGTTTATGATTATACTCTATAAATTTTAAAGCGTGTGTCTATTTCAAAATGTTTGATTTATTTTTAGACTATGTTTTATATCTAATAAATTACGAGCTTTCAAATTATAAGTATAGCTCTCGGTTGTTAAAGTTTTTTTTTTTTTCCTATTTGGTCCTTGATTTATTTTCAATTTGCTTCATCAGTCTATTAACTTCATTTATTGTTATTCTTTTTTAAAAAAAAAAAGATCCCTAAGTTTATCTAAATTAACCACTTATTCTTTTTTTTATCTTTCCATATTCTTATCGATGAACCAAATAAGTTTTGAAGAGTTGAAGAATAAAAGAAAGTAATAATAATAATAAAATTAAAAACTTGGATGCCCACCTTGATTATTGGCATATAGGCTAGTTGATAAGCATGTGGGTAATACCACATCAGCATGGGAAAAGTGGATGGGTGTTACGCATCAGCAACTAAGCATTGCTGCTGACGAGCCTAGTGGGCTCGAATACTTCTTAGTGGGCTCTGGTTGTCGGCCCACGTAGCTTTCTATGAATGGGCCGAGTTCATGGACCTGAATTAAGGTCGTGTGGCGATTTTCATTTTTCAACGAGAAAAGACAATATTTATTTTACCTAAAAAAAGGAGAGAAAGAGAGAGAGAAGCAATATTTTAATAAACTTTCAATAAATGATAACCATTTAATATATATATCGTTTGTTTTTTCAAATGAATTAAGATTCTTATATGAAATTATTGGGTAAATTTTAATATCATTAATATTAATCTGGTCGAGGAAGACACGGCAGAAAGACGTAGCCGTACGATTAGCAAGCCTCGATCGAGTGAGAAGGGCACAGGGAACTCGGTGTCGATTGTTAATCGCCTTTACCGAACTCAGACAGGTTCTAAAACCCTTAAATTCCCGCTTCCGTCACCTTCTTTCCGGCGAGCTTCGGCGCCATGAGTCGCTACGACAGCCGCACCTCCGATCCCACTTCTTACCGCGACCGTAGAAGGTCTCTCTAACTTCCTCCTTTTCCTCTTTACGCTTTCGAATGGGGGTTTTGAGTTTTTTTTTAATGGTTCTAGGTTTTGCGTCCTTGTTTAATTTCCACGATAATGTGGGACTTCTCGAATTGGGTAATGGGTTTTAGTTGCTTGGAGAATTACATCGTAGCTGATTGAATAGTATTCGGATTATGGCTTCAGTTGGACTTTTTTCAGCTTTTTGTAGTGGCGAAGGGTTTTCGTTGATTATACGAAGAGTTTAAAAGCTGTTTTTGGTTTCTAAAATATATTTGTTCTCTTCCCTTCTCATTGGAGCTGGAACGTAATTGCATAATTGTTTATATATCTTGTTTTCTCTCGTGGGGTTTTATTTTACTTTTTCTTAATTTTATAATCGAGGCTATCTATTTAAAACAATCATGGACTGGTGACTAGATAATGCGAGTAGTAGATTTTTGTAAAGAAGAAACTTGATTAATTTATTGAACTAGCTTTCAGAAGCTGTTGTGCCGAAGGAACACTTGGAAAAGTGGGTCCCATTTAGTGAGGTGGTGGAACTGTGTAAATACCTGCCAATTGTTTTTTTTTTTTTGTTCCTTTGGCTTGATCTTGGGCTCCTTCACCTGTTTCCATTTTATTTTTTTATTCTTCTTTCGAAGATTAAACTCTCCAAATTTAATCAACTACTGATTTCTCATTACCAATCTTCTAAATTGGCCTGTTTGTAAGTTTCTTTTGATTGTAGATGTAGCTTAGTGTTTTTTTTTTTTGGAAATTGATGTATCTACATTGACTTCTTAGGATAAACCACCTGGGTGATTCTTTGTTTATTTTCTTAAATAACGGGGCTCTCTCTTTCAACCTGTTTTTTGGGGTGCTGCAGTGATTCAGGTTTTGGTGGGTCTACAGGCTATGGCAATTCAGTGCGATCCTCCTCTAGCAAGAGTGACTATCATGCTTCTGAGGCCCCAAAAAAGGTGGATTTGGATGGATTACCTCATTTTGAGAAGAACTTCTACATTGAGGCATCATCAGTGGTGGAAATGACAGATAGAGAGGTTGAGGAGTATCGAAAAAGGAGGGAAATCACTGTAGAAGGTCGTGATGTTCCAAAACCAGTCAAGTCTTTCCGTGATGTTGGATTTCCTGGTACATTCCTTATATTTCATTTAATGGTCATCTTTCAAGTTTAAGCATCATTCTTGAGTGTACATTTTTTCATTATAATTTATGCATGCAAAGATTATGAACATATGAAGCGTGTCAGATTATGTCATGCAAGAAATTGCCAAAGCTGGCTTCACTGAACCTACTCCTATTCAGTCCCAAGGATGGCCAATGGCACTTAAAGGTCGAGATCTCATTGGTATTGCAGAAACGGGGTCGGGGAAGACACTTGCATACCTTTTGCCTGCAATTGTCCATGTCAATGCCCAGCCAATCCTTTGTAAGAAAATAATATGCAAATTGTAAGTGTGCCTAATTGTGGTCGTTATGTTCAAATGGACTGATTTCTTTTTTTCATTTCATAATTTTTCTCAGCTCCTGGAGATGGTCCAATTGTGTTAGTTCTAGCTCCTACTCGTGAACTTGCAGTTCAAATTCAACAAGAAGCTACAAAATTTGGTGCATCTTCGAAGATTAAGAACACATGCATATATGGTGGTGTTCCCAAAGGACCTCAAGTACGTGATCTTCAGAAAGGTAGATGGTGAAATAAATTCAAGATGCCCATACTAACCAAGTTTGAGGTGTCAATGAACACTTCCTTCTTACTACCATACCTAGTGTGATTATTTCTTGTTTTTTTGTTTCCTCTTTTCGTTGTTTATGATAGCAAGATGACTGACCCCTTCTTAAAATACTGACACCAGGAGTTGAAATTGTAATTGCTACACCGGGAAGATTGATTGATATGATGGAGTCACATCATACAAACTTACGAAGGGTTACTTACCTTGTACTGGATGAGGCTGATCGGATGCTAGATATGGGATTTGACCCTCAAATACGAAAAATTGTTTCACAGGTTTAAGTTCTACTCTACATGTTATTACATTACTGTCATTACTGTGTGTCTTTGGTCTTTGCATAGGTTTAATAGATCTAAGATAAAAGTTCCAAAAAATAACAAGTAAAAAGGGTAACTTTCTGGTAGTTTGGGACCTCTGGTTTGTTCGAAAACCCCAGTTTTGGGATGTTTTGCAACTCACTTTTCTTCTAGACCTCTACTCTCTTAAATTTTTTTGGGTCTGAAAATTTTGCTGGAATTAGGTTTTGTATGATAATGCAGACTCTAAATGAATCGGTTGTTCAGAAAATTTGTTAAAACTGAGTTGTATTTTCTTGGCTTGTGGTGCAGTCCTGGTTGACAGCCAGCTTTTGAGCCAAGCATTTATGTGTGTTTTTGGTGGCTTTACTTGTGCTCATTTTTTATGGGTTAGTTGGTGTTGACATTAAATTGTGTTGTGCTTAAATCTTATAAGTTTCTCAAATGCTACTTTATTTTCAATACAGATTCGGCCTGATCGGCAAACTTTGTACTGGAGTGCTACCTGGCCTAAAGAAGTTGAACAATTGGCCAGGAAGTTTCTATACAATCCATACAAGGTAAAGACTCTTAACTCATACATCCATATGAGGGGACATAAATATGGTCTTCTGTTGCAACATTATCGTGAGATCTCAGATTGGTTGGAGGGGGAATGAAACATTCCTTATAAGAGTGTGGAAACCTCTCTCCCTAGTAGACGCGTTTTTAAAACCTTGTGGCGAAGCCCTTGAAGGGAAAGCTGAAAGAGAACAATATCTGCTAGCTGTGGGCTTGGATTGTAATCAATGGTATCAGAGTCAGACACCAGGCGATGTGCCAGCAAGAACGTTGGCCCCCTAAAGGGGTGGATTGTGAGATCCCACATTGGTTGGAGAGGGGAACGAAACATTTCTTGTAAGGGTGTGGAAACCTCTCCCTCGTAAGGGAAGTTCAAAGAAGACAAAATCGGGCGATTATTTTTACTGTTTCGAAAGAATTCATCGTGAAATAAAGTTTTTATCTTTCAGGACAACAGCTGAAGACGGTAATTGCAAAAAAATTTCTTCAAAATATAAATATATTACTATTCTTTCTCTTGTGGAGGGAGGGGGAAGGAGAAGGGTGGTCTTTAATATTCTTAATGTTGTAATCGACTTTTTTTGTTTATGTAATTTGCACAGGTCATCATTGGTTCTCCAGACCTGAAAGCTAATCATGCCATACGCCAACATGTTGATATCGTCTCTGAAAATCAGAAATATAACAAGTGAGTGGAGCTTGTGGGATCTTTTGTCGTTTACTTATTTTGTTGGGGACCCATTTCCCATAAGCCGGTCAGGGTATGATAAGAAGTAACTGGTACTGACTAGTTTTCCAGATTGGTGAAGTTGCTGGAGGATATAATGGATGGGAGTCGAATCCTGATCTTTATGGATACCAAGAAAGGCTGTGATCAAACTACCCGACAGCTTCGCATGGATGGTTGGCCTGCACTTTCAATTCATGGTGACAAGAGTCAAGCAGAAAGGGATTGGGTCCTCTCAGAATTTAGGTCTGGCAAGAGCCCTATAATGACGGCTACAGATGTTGCTGCTCGTGGTTTAGGTATGTATTGTATATGAAAATTTTAAGGGCGAGGGGGCGACAGTTTACGGTACTTATGTGAGATCCCACGTCAGTTGAGGAGGAGAACGAAACATTCTTTATTAGGGTGTGGAAAACTCTCCCTAGCAGACGCCTTTTTAAAAACTTTGTGGCTGAAGCTTTTGATGAACCATTTTATTGCTCTCTCTAATATTTCCTAATAATGTCATTCCATTGCAGATGTAAAGGACGTAAAATATGTAATAAATTACGATTTTCCTGGATCTCTTGAGGATTATGTTCATCGAATTGGTCGAACAGGAAGAGCTGGAGCAAAAGGAACTGCATACACTTTCTTCACCGCTGCTAATGCAAGATTTGCGAAAGAAGTCATAGCGATTCTTGAAGAAGCTGGACAGAAGGTTAGTCCTGAACTGGCAGCAATGGGTCGTGGTGCGCCTCCTCCTCCCTCAGGTTAGTTATTTCCATGCAAGTGAAATGGTGTTCTTGTTCCCATTACTGCCAAAATACTTTGAAGAATCAATACCAAGGATAAAAGGAATAGTAATCAAGAATGTTGTTGAGTATCAACATTTCATCTTAATCAGGTCATGGGGGGTTCCGAGATCGTGGAAGGGGTTTTGGTGGTGGCCGATCATGGAGTTGATTATCAAACTTGATGACTTCAGACAATTATTAGTGTCCTGCAGTCACTGTGTTGCCATTGCAAAAGTGGGTATGCCGAATACTACCACTTAACCCTTCGAACAGACCCATCTACTCTACTTTTACCAACACATGACAGGAAGGTGAAAGTTGTTTGGGATTTTGATGTACAAGAAAGAGTTCCATTATTTTTCCCTAGAAGAAAAATGTTAAAGTCAACGTGTATTTAGTAGACAAATTGTTCAAACATGCTGCAGTACTGTATTTATGATCTTTTCTATTGTGTTGGAAAGTAAAACTCTTCATTATTTCTGACCTCTCTATGAGACATTACCAAAGATTTACAGGGTTAGTATATGAACCAGAATAATTTGCATGACCAGTTCCACGAAGATCTTTATGTACTTGTTCAGTCTAAAATTTGCATGACCTATTTGTCTGTTTCTAGGTTCGGAATTGGAGATTAGTTTGGACCCATTGGTAGTTATTTATTGTCTTTTTTGTATGGAATTGAAGTAACTATGTATCAAGAAGATTGAGGTTGATGAAGAATATGCTTGTCTTGTACCAATTTATGAATGCTAGTGAAGTAAGAAGCTTTTATGTGAAGGCTGGTATCTATAGAAGATGATTATTGAATGGTGAATTTTTTCTTCTTGGAAAACCTTATAAATGATTTATTCACTTTATACAAACGTATAAATGAAAAAAGATTTGAACTTTTCCCTCCAAACCACAAATTCCCCAGTTGGGTCTTCTCGTTCATGGATCTTCGAGCAAGTACATGCAAACTCAGAGCTTGGTCATCGCCATACAAGTCTCCATTAAAATTAGGTCGTGAAAATGGGCGGCAAGAACATTGATCTTCTTCCTTTAATGGGGCATTTAGTATCAGGAAAATGGCCTCCATTTTCTTCCAAATCCTCAATCGATCCGTCCTGTTTTACCTTCACAGGGTACGTTACGAGATGAACACCTTTCATGTCTGCAACTTCTTCTCCACTGTAAATTTTCCATGATTCGTCTGCTATTGAACGAACCCTTTCTACGCATTGCAAGTTTTCGGGGTTTAAGAACACCTCTTCGAATCGTTGAGTATGTTCGTACCAAAGCGACAAGCGGAATGTTGAAATGTCTCTTCCATTTGGCAATTCTTTTCCGTCGTTTTCTAGTTGGTAGCATCCGATCGCTATCTCTGTATCTCGTTCTCCGTCCATGGATCTTTGGTTCACGTTTGCGGATCCGATCAGAATGTACAAATCGTCCACTGCAAACACCCACATATTTATGGTTAGTTTCTACTTCTTCTACACTTTTGGTTTAAATCGTTGTAATTTGAATATGTAATGAACCCATCATCACTTTTATGGATAATAGATTTGTCATTTGTGTTTGTTGAAATGAGATCCAAAACTCTTGAATCAATTCTTTGTTTCTTTTGCGTTATTATGTTATTAAAACTGCCCTCTACATGTTTGTTAAAATGCCCCTTTGAAACGATGTTCGGAATACTTGAAAACTTACCTATCATGACCTTCGAATGGACATAGACCATAAACCTTCTATGGTGTTGGGCACTCCAGTATTCTGTTGCATGTTGTGGACTGTGAGGGGGAACAAAGTCCCACTTTCTCTCTTCTTCTCTGTTTGCAAGGCAAAAGAAATTCAAGTAGTCTCTTGGATGGGCCTTCTCCCCAGTTTCTTGGATTGCTTCTCCAATCAATCTATACATCATTGTCATTGTCTGCCTGGTCCAATGTAGCATATCCTCTACTGATTCACTCTCTGGTGGCCCTTCTGGCCACATTGGAATCACTACATAAACTGCAAACTTCTCCCTTGCCTTGATCTTATTAGCCACCTTGAGCGCAATCTCGATCGGTATTAAATTCGTGCATCCGCAGTGTTGATCTTTGTCCCACAAGTGACACCCTCCTATGAAATATTGGTTTTCGATGTAAATAAATCTCTCGGCTCTTCTGATAGCTTCGACATATGCCTCGTGGATGGTACGTTCAACCGTCAAGTTTCTGAAAACTTGGCTGGCAGACAAGTGGTTGATAGATCGAAAAACTTGTACGTTCCAATCCTTTTGTGGGTTTGTGTTTGATTCAAGTGGGGGCATCAGTTTTAGTAAGATGCTTGTTGGGACTAGCAACGAAGCATCTGATTGCTTAGTCCATCGTTGCTCAAAGTTTGTTAGTATATCCCAAGCAGCTTCACCTGTTACGCGAGCATGAACATCATGCCATGGCTCTCTTGGCCCTCCTTTTTGAAGCTTGGCTCCTGATATACTCGTTTGGTAGAAATCACAGCAGTGGGATTCTGTGTTCAAAGTATGGAACAATGAATGTTGTTCTGTGTCATAGCGACCATCACAAAGATCTAGACCCCCAATGAAACTCATAATCTCCCTGTTCCTTGCGTTGATGTGAGTTTGAGCGTCTACTGTTATGGTCTTCTGATGATGAGAGAAAATTGGTGGAGACATAGGATGTAATTTGGGGCACAACCTACATACAACTTTCGAGTTCGAGAAATATGCCCGAGCATCTTCATCATGTGTTTTCATTATCCCAGCATTCTTGATGATGGGAAGGGATGTCTCGTCGTCCCATATCATTAGTCTCACTGCTACTCCTTCCTCTGCCTTCTGCTTCAACAACTCACCAAGCTTTACTCCCAAGGCATAGGGTATATGAGTTTGAGGGTCTCTTACCTGATCACCAAAAGAGTATTAGCGGTTAAAAATTCATGGACTAAAGTTTGTACTTTAACAAAGATAGGTGATTGTTTGTATTTACCAGCACCATCTTTGGATTGAAGGACCAGCCTGCAATGTAAACCAAATGCTTTGCATTATCTATGGCCTTATACACATCTTCCCATAGCCTTCTTGGCGCGCTCGAACCGTGAAACGGAGGTTGAAACGTAGAGACATGGTGAGCATCTTGATATAGAGTCACATGACAGTTGGACCTTAGAGGAAACGTTGCATTTCTCAGCCCCTTGTACTCTCCATTTTCCAGCACCTTTTTCCAACTTAGTTCATATACTGCCGGTTGAAACCATAGCATGAATCTAAGTCTGAGCTCTGGACTCGGCTTCCCATTTTCCATAAGAAGTGGAAAGAATCCATTGATGAAACTTGATTCTTTCAAAATCTGTTGGGCTTGGATCTGGAATCTTCCCAATACAGAACGAGTTGTTCTCATTGTAATGGTGATGGTAGATGTCAATGGATGCGCACATAGAACTCGGAATGTTTGGTTCCAAACACGGTCGTATTCATGGTTTGTTCGAGCAACCTCTATGTTGTTTATCTTGATGGTCACATAGCTTTGCTTTCCTCCAGAAAAGATACACTACAAGAGAGAAAAAACTGTTATATTATTCTAGTGACGATATAGAAATTGTATTATTCGACGTATTAGACAAAAAGTTGAAAGTTTATAGACCTATAAACACAACCACGAAAGTTCAGAGACTAAACTTATAATTTAAACCTCATTCTTATGATCTAAGACTTACATCCAGTGGTGATGACGGTGTGTATGTAGTTGCATGGAAGACGGTAACTTCGAGCGTGCCATGGAAGAACTTATGCTTTCCCTGAACTGTCATAACTTGAAACAATTTTGTAGGAGAGTGAAGGAAAGAAAGAAGGGAGAATATGAGAAGTTGTAAGGTAGGTGCTATTATATGAGGTGCTGGAATTAGATAAGCAGCAAGAAAGGAGGAGAGGTAGCTTGGAATTGAATGCAAAGGGTCTGAATGGAAGTTGGAAAAACTTGTGGAATTTTCCATGTCAATCTTAGAGGTAACCTATTGGTCCACTATTTTATGCTTCAAGCCCAATTCTCTTAAACTCCAATCACATTCTTCATTTCTTCCCTTCAACACCATGTGAGTGAATATTAATACCTCTCTTCTTTTTCCAACGGACTTTAGGTTTAATGTCTAACTGATTACGTGATCAAAGGGATTAATCCCGTTTTGACCCAAACTTTAAAGCTCCTCTATCAATAATTTTAATCACACCATTGCTTGTGGTGCAATGTTTGCTATCACCATTCATTTGTAACCATATATTAAAGAAGTAATTAGGAGTGGGTGATATTAACAAATCTCTTCTTATGATATCACGTTACCCCAGTTGGCCTTTGCGTGGACAATTCGGTGTATTGTCTTTTATGTTAATAATATTAATTAGAATAATAATAAATTAAAAATTAATGAAAGTTAGCATTTGAAATAAATAAAAATAGGCCCAGCCCCAGGCCCAAGCCCAACCCCAACTCCAACCCCTTAGGTCCAATTGAACCGAGGTTGGGCTTCGTAAACTTAAGTAACTCAGAAATTATTCAAATAATAAAAAGAAAAATAAATAATAATCGAAAGGAAACAATAAGAACGCAACATGGGGAATTGGGGGAGTTGTTCGTTTCCATTTGGTATTTTTCTTTTATGTTATATTTGATTATTTATTTATTTATTGAAAAAACAAAACAACAACGACTATATTTCCGAAAACATGTGCCGACATAGCGACATTTTTACAAAATTGCCAACTAATTTGTTTGTACAAATGGCACTTTCCTTGTTGACCTTCACTTCACGAGGTATACCCTATATCCACGTGGCTCTTTCCCATTGGCTGTCTTGTACTAGTTTAAATTCTAACTTTTGATTAAACCTCAGGAGTCAACATTTCATATCAATTTGTAGGAATAACTTTTCATCACAAAACTTAAAATTAATTATACAATTCAATTATTGTAATGCTTAGATTTGCATCATAAAATAAGTCATTAATTTTGAAGTCATAATCGTTTGATTTCAACTAACTCACATCATACCTAATTAAACTTTATAGGATAATTGACATTTATCCAAATTAAAATATATAGATAGGGAAATGGCTAAAGTTCTTTGCTGGCTTTCTTGGGCTCTTCTAGGCCGTCCTGTTATTATAATTGCCTTTGGTTGTCCCCACGAAGCTTAGTGTGGTCTTGTCCACACTAGAGTCCAACCCATATCTTGTTTCAAATAGTGGTTGAATGTGTTGGATCTAATTTCTTTATTCAAGGAGGATGGAATCACCTATGCTCACTTCCATGCACTCTCCTACATTTCTTGTGTACCTAGATGTCCACAAAGAAGTGTCTTTGTTCTCAACTTCGATTGCCTTTCTCATTTTCACATAATTCTCCCTTCATAAATTTTTATAAGGAACATCGTAAAAATTTTATGTAGAAAATTTGTGGAATAGAGCCGAGGTTAGAAATGGAGATAGGAATGTAATTCCTGTCC